CAGCGGCATGAGGGGCGTCATCGCGGCGGTGTCTGCCAGCGCCGCTGGCCCCGTGCCGGCGGCTGCCTGGCCGTCCGGTCCGCGCGTGCTGAGCAACACCTGACCCGGCGCGCGCAGCTCGATCCAGCCGTCCATGCCCTGCATCGCCCGCCTGGCAAGGCGCTCGAAGCCCAGCAGGCGCTCGCGGTCCAGCAGCCTGGGGTCGTCGAGGGATGGCGACTGGGCCAGCACATGGGCGATCGCCGCGCGGCGCGACAGTTCGCCGTCCACCAGCATCGACAGCGCCCTTGAGGTGTCCCGCAGCGTCCGCTCATGGGCGTCACGCTCGGCCTCGTAGGTGCTGGCCACCAGCCAGGCGACGCCCAGCATGCCCGGCAGGATGATGGAGAGCACCAGCAAAAGCAGCCGGGAGCGGATGCTCACCGGCAAGCTCGTCCGCTGCGTAGGCGGCGAGATGGATCGTGGACGGACCACCATGTCTCAGGCGCCGCGACCCGGCCCCGGTTCGCGGAAAAGTGTTCTTGTGGCTCGCCAGGGCAAACGGCGTGCCCGGCCTGCGTCAGGTGAATCGGTTGCGGGGCCGCGGCTTGGCCGGCCCCCGCAGCAGCGCTCGCAGCGACGGGGGTGGGGCACAGTGGTCGCCCTCGAGGTAGAGCCGGATCAGACGCAGGCTCCGGCGACGGCGGCACAGGCTTCGCAGCCCGATCAGCAGGGGCACGGCGATCAACGCGCCGACGATGCCCCAGAGCCAGCCCCAGAACAGCACCGAGACGAAAACCGACAGCGCGCTGAGCGACAGCCGCCGCCCGACGATGACCGGGCTGACGATGTTGCTCTCGACGGCATGGATCGCCATGAAGGCGAGCATCGGCCCGAACACCTGCGGGCCGGGGTCGAAGGTGGTGATGCCGGCCAGCAGCAGCAGGGCCATCAGTGCCATCGGGCCGATGTAGGGCACGAAGCAGAACACCGCGGTCACGCAGCCCCACAGCGTCGGGTTGGGCAGGCCCAGCGCCCACACGGCGAGCGCGGTGATCACGCCCACGGCGCTGTTGATGATGGCCAGGGCC